AAATACATCCCAAATACATGGAAAATAAGATTAGAAATAAAATCTTGGTTCATTGGGAGAACAAAAAATTGAAAAATAATGAAAAAATGAAAAATAATGAAATAACTTGGGATCCAGCAATCCCACTTCTGGATGTATATCCTAAAAACTTGAAATCAGTGTGTCAAAGAGATATCTGCACACACATGTTCATTGCAGCATTACTCACAATAGCTAAGTTATGAAATCAATCTAGGTATGCAACAAGTGAATGGATAAATATGTGATATGTGTACCCAACTGAATACTATTCAGCCTTTAAAAAGAAGGAAATTCTATCATTTGCAACAACATGGATGAATCTGGAGGATATTATATTAAGTGAAATAAGCCAGGCAGAGAAAGACAAAAATCGCATATTCTCACTTATATGTGGAATCTAAAATAATTGAACTCACAGAAGCAGAGAGTAGAGTGTTGGTTATTACAGGCTGTAGTCGGGGGAGGGGCAGTGAGGAGATGTTGATCAAATAGAAAATTTCAGTTAGGCTGGTCCAATAGTAGTGGGATATTGTCAGAACTTATTAACATGAATGCCACTAAAGTTGGTATACAATCTCCCACTGCCAAATTTGGCTTTTAAAATTAAAAAAATGAAAGTTGCAGTTAAGGGGAATAACTGATAAGTATTTAAGGTGATGGATATGCTCATTAGATTGATTCAGTCATTTCACACTATATCATAACATCACTGTGTACCCCATAATTATATATGATTATAATTTGTCAAAAAAAGATTAACTTGGAAGGAAGTATTCATTTCACCAAAGGTATATATATTTTTTAAGTGAAGAGATCCATCTTAGGAGTTCTTTTAAATAGCTTTTGGGGGCATTCGAAGTAAGTGGTGGTTGTAAGGATTATATGAAATGATAGACCTAATGTACTCAATGTAGTACTGGCCATACAGAATGCACACAATAAAAGGTAGTAATGAATGAAAGGGTAATAATGAATAAATCAAATCAGATTTTATGTTCCCCATAAAATCTCCATCTCAAAAACAAACAAACAAACAAAACAAAACGAATAGAAAAGGACTGGACTCCATGCCAGGCGCAGTGGCTCACGCCTGTAATCCCAGCACTTTGGGAGGCTGAGGTGGGCGGATCACTTGGGGTCAGGAGTTTGAGACCAGCCTGGCCAACATGGTGAAACCCTGTCTCTACTAAAAAATACAAAAATTAGCTGGGTGTGGTGGTGCATGCCTGTAGGCCCAGCTACTTGGGAGACTGAGGCGGGAGAATGACTTGAACTCGGGAGGTGGAGGTTGCAGTGAGCCGAGATCGCACCACTGCACTCCAGCCTGGGCGACGGGGCGAGACTCTTGTCTTAAAAAAAAAAAAAAAAAGAACTGGACTCCCTAACTTTGAGGGTAGCTCAAAGCTGTTGTTGCTGGCTCTAGAGTCAATAAAAAACTGCCTGGTCTCCCATGGACTGCTTAATTTCTACTAATCCATTAAGGTAGGTGAAATATTGAAAATCAAGCCCTTGCTTACTTCAAATCATCACAGATCATTTCTGCAAGTGGTTTCTAGGCCGATTTCAGCTTTTGGTTTGCATTCTTCCCTGCAGAGGTTATATAGTTTGCTTAGGTAGCCACCACCGTGTTGTTGAATTGTAGTCTTTTACCTGAGAGTCTAAGAATATGATTAAGAAGATGAAATCATGTTTCATAACAGCTGTTATTTCATTTGTTCATCAAATTACATCATGTAATTTGGATTGACTTTGAAAAATCTACACATATTGGAGAGGAGCTAAGGTAACGTCTAGAAATAATTAAGTTATGTCAAATAAGGTATTGTCTAACTGTACACACATCATTCTAGTGTGATGGTCTAGTGTCTAGTGTTATGGGCAAGATCTTGTATAATTTAACCAGTACTACTAGAAGTGGTCAGGAGGGGGAGCAAGAGGAGTTTTTAGTGACTGTGTTGGTTTTCTTTTTGCTTTCCTGAACTCAAAATCAAGACATGAGTAAAAGCCAGGATGAAGTTCCTGATGAAGTTGAGAACCAGTTTATATTGCGTCTGCCTCTGGTAAGAATTTGTATCTCAGAACAAATATCTTCATAATTATAGTGTTTTTTTGTTTGGTTTTTTTGTTTTTGTTTTTTTTGAGATGGTGTCTTTGTTCTGTCACCCAGGCTAGAGTGCAGTGGCACAATCTTGCCTCACTGCAAGCTCCGCCTCCTGGGCTCACGCCATTCTCCTGCCTCAGCCTCCCGAGTAGCTGGGACTACAGGTGCCTGCCACCACGCCGAGCTAATTTTTTGTATTTTTTAGTAGAGACAGGGTTTCACTGTGTTAGCCAGGATGGTCTCGATCTCCTGACCTTGTGATCCACCCGCCTCGGCCTCCTAAAGTGCTGGGATTACAGGTGTGAGCCACTGTGCCTGGCCAATTATAGTTTAATTATAATTGTAGTTCTACTTGGATTCTGTAACATTTCTATTTCAGGTAGGCTATAAAAACTCAGAACATTTGTTTCCCAGGAATCATGTTCTGTAAGCAGTCCTATCATAGCGTGTACTTTTTTGGCAGCATTTTTTCCTCCTGTACATACTACCTATCATGCAGGTTGATTTCCTGGCAAAACAGCTGTGAGAATGATGGACCCAGTCACTTACTACCAATACTAACAGCCTGTTCCCTGGACAGCCAAGATAAGACTCCTCTGAAATCCTTTCTGTCACCTCAAAAGGGGCAGTGAGAAGGGCCAGCATTATTCAGCACCATGCAAGACTTTTAAAGCTCATCTCAACAAGTATTTGGCTCTCTTTCCCCACACTGATACCCGTATTCAAGCAATTACTTAGTCTAGGCAGCTATATTAAGGATGGGGTTCAGAAACCTATTTCCCTAATTAGGGTTACTTAATATACCAAGCAAACTGCAACTAGGTAAGTCTTTCTTTAGCAACTATAGCAGACGGGTAGCAGGGTTGTAGAGCTGGGAGAAAGTATTAACTGTAGCTACTAAGAGACAATTATGAGTTTAGAGTCAGCTTCATCCTAACTTGACTTATACAGTGCACAGTATCTCATGGTACATGGTCTTGTTAGTAACATTTGGGAGGTGTAAGGTTTTATTTAAGGGAGGACTTTGTTTGATATATTTATTCTGTTAGCTGCCAAATAGATGTTTAGTTCTTCTGATTTTTCAATTTACCTCCTTTTTAGGAACACGCTTGTACTGTCAGGAACCTAGTACATTCTCAAAGTGTCAAGATGAAGGATAAACTAAAAATTGACTTACTGCGTAAGTAGTTAATATCCATTCACTATACATTGAACAATAATTTATTAAGGGATTGCTATGTGCCAGGCACTATACTTGGTACTAAGGATGTGAAAAATGATAGAATATGGTCTCTGACTTGATGGACTCATGCTTTAGAGAGGCTTAAGTCCTCTTGTTTTAAGAGGAAAGGAAGTAGGAATATTGCACCTCGAGTTGAGTGACTACCATAGTGTGTTTAAGGAAACTTGGGGGTCAACTGTGGGGTTTTCATACTGCTGGTAGTCTCCTATATATAAACTTTATGATTTCTGAACATCCCCGGGAATGACAAATGGATATGCCATTCTTTGTTTGTAAAGGTGACATATGTTTCTTTTTTCC